ATCTGAATAACTAAAGGATATCTTGTTTAAGCAAACAGATACTTGGGGCACGCTGTGACACACAAGCCATTTTGTTGAATAATATTCATAGTAAAATTACATGATGAGCATAGAAAGAAATAAATAAAAAGGGTTGAATGCTTAGGCAAAAACCTTTTTTCTCTAATAAATCTAGTAGAGTATTGATAGAAATAAGTCTTTAATTCACAATTTAATATTTTTATTTAATAACTTTAATTTTAAAATTACAGGTCCCAACTGAAGCAAGCTGTAGTAAAGATGGTACAAGAATGTTGCACTTATGTAGACAAAACACCTGATAAAGAAACTAAAATAAAACTTATTGAAACTCTGAGAACAATAACTGAAGGCAAGATTTATGTGGAAGTTGAGAGAGCTAGGCTTACACACATCTTAGCTAAGATTAGAGAGGAAGAAGGAAATGCTGCTGAAGCTGCCAAGATCATCCAAGAGCTACAAGTTGAGACTTATGGGTCTATGGACAAGAGAGAGAAAGTTGAGCTCATTCTGGAGCAAATGAGACTATGCCTAAACATCAAAGACTACATCCGCACACAAATTATTTCCAAGAAGATCAATACTAAGTTCTTTGAAGAAGATGATACTCAGGTATGTAATGAATTCTAAAACATTTATAAAAACATATCCTAAATTTTACACATTCTCTATTATTTGGATTTTGTGTAAATGTTTAAGATTTGACAGCTTGTATAAAACTTATAATGGTGAAAGCACTGCTCTGAACATAGTACATTGTAAAGAATCAATATTTAATTTAATTATGAAATGTTTTGCCACCAGGAATTGAAAGAGAAGTTCTATCGACTGATGATAGCAGTTGACCAACATAATGGCCAATATCTGTCAGTATGTCGTCACTTCAGAGCACTTGGACAATCTGCAGGCTCTGATGCTCTTATTGGAAGTGTTGTGTTCCTGATCCTGGCTCCCTATGACAATGAACAGGCTGATCTAACCCACAGAGTCAATGAAGACAAGGACCTGGATAAACTGCCCGACTACAAGTGAGTATTGTTTATAACTATTTTCATAAAACATAATAGAGAATGCCTCCTATGTCTTGTGAATCTAATTAGCTAGAAATATATTCAGTAGACTAAGTGTAAAATAAAAAATAACACTTTTGCAGGAATTGGTTAAGAGATTTGCTGTTATTTGCCTCTAGCTGTTCCGACTTTTATTTTTATCTTTATTTTGAAACCACTTCCAATATAAAAAAATCTCATAATAAATTTATTTACTTTATAAGTACAGTATAAGCTTTTACTCGCGACTCCGTTCGCGTGAAATAGAATTTTGGTATAAAAATTATCCTGTGTGGAATAGATTTTTGGTATAAAAACTATCCTATGTCCTTTCTCGAGTTCCAAACTATGTCTGTACCAAATTTCACAAAAATCGGTTCAGTAGTTTAGGAGTGAAGAAAAGACATAGACAGACAGACAGAGTTACTTTCGCATTTATAATATTAGTTTAGATTAGTATAGATAACCCTCTTACACCCGGTTTCCGAAAGGCCGATCAATGTTAAAATCAATTTAATCTCTTTTCAAGTCATCTAATTGGTTGACTGAATTATCAACAACCAATCAGATGACTTGACAGACTTTCAGAAACTGGGTGTTAATCTTACTTATTTGTAGTAAATTAGTTACCACTAAACTATCAACTTTATTCATTCTTACAGACAATTACTGGGCTTGTTCATCAACCCAGAGATCATCAGATGGAACACTCTATGCACCACATATGAGAAGATGTTGCGAGGTACCCCATACTTCGACTCGTCCGATGAGAAAGGCCAGGAACGTTGGAATGACCTTAAGAACAGGGTTGTTGAACATGTAAGTATTTTTTTACTGTTATTGTCAATTAACTTTTAAACTTTCGCATTTCATCTTAACAACATTATATTTACGCGGGTATATAGCAGACAGTATGCTTGTGACCACGACCTGTGCAACCGGGTCGAAACGTCAAGCCTACCAAGGTATTCAAATTATAATTTTCCGCGTTAATACCCGCGTAAATATAATGTTATTGTCAATTAATATTTAGTTTTATGTTTATCATTCTCTTTAGACAAGGTTACCAGTTATTGTAGTGAAAACCTTTTGAAATGGGTAATTTTCAAAATTATTGTAAACTGATTCATAATTAGTAATTATTATAAAAATAGAAACAAATTTAATGGAATGTATTACACTGTTCCTTATTCGTCATCAATCGGTGGAAATTAGATTTGGTAGAAAACAACATATTCTTGCAAAGTCCCTGGACAGGCTTCGTGGAGCACAACATCGTTAAGTCATCTGATATGAGACAACGTATTAGTTGTCAAGTATGCTGTTGATGATTAAGGGTCCTTGTAGTGTGTCGAAATTAGTAACTTTTTTGAACAGATACATATGTGAAGAATCGATGTATAGTTTAATAAGTATTATATTGGTATAATTTTAAATATTTTATAACATAATTCATAAAATATGAACAAATAGTTATGGTATGGTATGATGTTGGATTTGAAATCTTGTTAATATTTTTATAGTAACGTAAATATGTGTAATCCAAAAATGACAAAAAAAAAGATTTTTCTTATAAAATATCAATAATGTCTTTTTTACTTTACTCCATCACAATTTTCCTTAATTTTATTTAATTTAAACTTTAACATATACACCTTTTTTGCAGAATATCCGTATAATGTCGATGTACTACACTCGCATTACCTTGAAGCGTATGAGTGAGTTACTGGGATTGAGCGAGACAGAAACAGAGGAGGCTCTCAGTCAACTGGTCGTCAGTGGTGTAGTGCGCGCCAAGATCGACCGTCCCGCAGGCGTAGTACATTTCAGGTAGATTTTTTGTACTTTTTGTAGCAGTTTAACAGTAAAATAGAACATATTACTCTTTGGATTGCGATCAAATTTAAACCTTATTTCTAGTGAAAAACTTAGATTGAACTAGAATTTTTTTATTAATTTCTGCCGAAAATTACTACACGTTTGACAGATTGGGAAGCGCGTAGCGTTCTCTCATAAACCTGCGCAAATAAAACTTTGTCGTTTATGTAGAAAAGTTTAGATTTTACTAATAAGTATTTAAAATCACAGTGGAATACTGTATTTAGTAGCTCATATCATGGGTGAGCACCGTATCAGCTAACATGTGTTAATATTTGCTTATGTTTTTAACTCTCAGAATTGTGGGAAAAATAAAAACTAATAATTTTTGGTCAGCTAGTAAGCGTTTATTTGGTTATAGTAATAAAAATGCGATGGATTTTAATGAAGTGAAGTTAATAATTTAATCGCGTATACCACGGGAAATTGTGCTCAGGGGAATTGTTCGGTTTGTTCCCCACCTCATTTTTCGCCATCGACCCACACGAAAACACTTTCATCCCCATCATAGTAGAATCTACTACTAAGTAGATGGTTAAGGGTCAACAACTGAGCGATTTTCGCGAAACTTTCTGCTTTGCACAGCAAAACTTTGAAGTGATGTTTTGGCAGCGGTATTTTCGAACCGATACAAATTACAAACCTTCAAGATACTATCGCACTCCTTCTTAACACATTCAGTGCCCCCGACGCGTATGTGCGTGCGAGGAAACGCACATACGCGTCGGGGGCACTGAATGTGTTAAATAGCCGGCAACGCGGTTGAGTCTCCTCTTATGTTGCGGGTATCCATGGGCAGCGTTGATTACTTACCATCAGGTGATCCGTCTGCTTGTCTGCCTCCAATTCCATAAAAAAAACTTTGTAGTACTTCAGAAACTTATAAACATTTATATTTTCAGTTTGAACATGGATGCGTCAGATCGTCTCAACGAATGGTCGAATAATTTGAACACGTTGATGCAACTTGTGAACAAAACGACGCATCTTATCAACAAGGAGGAATGTGTACACAAACATCTCTTAGCAACAGCGGAATAAATAAATAGATTATTATATTTCCTTTTAAAACCCTTCACTACAGTGTATTCCAAATTATCCTAATAATGTTATAAGTACATTTCACTGTGTGAAATTATATTGAGAGCTAACTCTAAACAAATGTTTCTTTTTGTTTTTGTAGCGCTGGTCACTAAGAAATCTGGATGTCTATGTTATTTTAAAGCTGTTTAATTTTATATTTTAAGGTTGGAATAAATATTTAACTGTATATTTTTTGTTTTTTATTGTTATAATACCTACCTATATACACTCGCGTTTTCATCATTCTATTTAAGATTCAATTATTTACTATTTTAAAATATCTCAATGAAATCAAATACGAGTAATGTCTGTTTTGGTAAAGGCGAGTTTTCGTGCATTGATATTACATATATCATTTTTATAATCCTACCATATCTTAGACGTCTTAATCGTAAACGGTAAGACCGGTATTTATCAGACGTAGGTACTCATTATGCAGTTGTTAATTTTGTTTTATTATATATTCAACCAATTAATGTTTGAAAGAATACTTCTTAGAATTGAGAATTTACGGGACGACTGTGAAATAAATATGTTGACCAACTATAAAGCAATAATATTATAATCGGTCCAATATTTTAAGATAGGTATTTAGAGGGTGAAAAGATATATAACAGGAAAAATCAGACCTTTAATATAATGCATTTCCATAAAATTATTAGGTAACACTTATGTTCGTAGTGAATCACCCATTTCAAAGACCCTGTTCATTTTTATTTGCGGGCACATGGCATGTAGTTTTACTTTAACCGTTATCGAGCACAGCTATGTAGAGTGAAGTTTAAGCCTAATCTCTTAAGAGAATAATCTGATTTTCTAGAAAGATGTTTGTTACACAAACATCTATGTATACCTAATTTGTTACTTTATTACCTATTTTTAGTAGCTGAGTCGTATAATTATCTCTAACCTGATTAGATAGCTAAGCAGACTGGTTTTGATTAAATAAAATTAATCATTTGTACTCTAATAGTAATCCCGGCGGCCGGCGGTTCACTATTAATTTATTAATTAAAAGTTTAATATTATTCGAAAAAAATGTTTTGTGATCTGATTTTACCTTTATTCATTCCTGCGGGCCTAGTGTTATTTTTTAGGTTATTAAATAAACCTTACAAGCCGGCGATATTTGGTGTTTACCAACAAAAAGACAAGTTCTTTTGGATAAAATATATTTTTATGTACTTAGTTTTATCCTTTAGACAGGTATGTATCAGTAATTTGATATTTTTATAACGATAGCTTACAGTTTATTAGAGGGTATTAGGTCTAATTCAATAATTTATTGTTTCAAACCTTAGACTCTAAGACTTTATCAGACCGGTATCTGAGCATTGGATTGCCGCAATGAGCTTGATAAGTGTGTCATAAATTAAACAAAGTTCAATGTTTTCTGCTGTTGATATTGAGAAAATCACATAAGGATCGTACCCTGAATTTACTAAGCAGCAACTAAACGTTGTTGATCATAATTTAGTTATATGGTCAACCTTAACACCCACCCCATAAAGGTGAAAGTTGATCTACTAACAAAAAATACTTAAATTATATTTTCTTTTAGCTAATAAATCACATAAGCCGTATATTAGCCGTTGAGGCCGGCAAAAGTAGTGATGGAGTACAACATGTCCATAAGCAAGATGAAGTGTTGGAAAATAAGTATTATCTAGGCGATAATGCACAGGTAATCAACTATACCTACTTACCTTATATGTTTACTAATCTATGTTGACATTGCACAATTGTGTTCACCAATATTTTTATTACACTCAGATATCCACATAAGCAATAAAGATAGGTACCTAAGTACCTACATTTTATTAGGCCATTAATGAGTCGTTGCAAGCATAAAATCTCGGGTTCGATTCCTGGATTGGGTATAGCACGATTTATTGTCGTTGCAATTTCCAGCAGTGGGACTTAGGCAGATGGGAGACACCGGGCAGTGCCGGCTGTGGGGCGTGATTGGGCGATGGGCCAGGGCGACATTCTGGTGGGCGCTAAGGTCTGAAGTTGGAGACTCTTGCCTCTCCTGGTGCAAACTTTAACTATGCTCTTTGCATATGCATATTTTTATTGCGATTTTTTTTAAATGGATTTTTTGAGGGTTTGTGGTCGAGGAGTGATTCTAAAGATATCAACGATCATCAAAAAAACTTGTCATACTGCTTCCCTCGAGTGGACGCCACAATATTTTCTCCCGGTCTGTCAGTGGCCCTCTCAGCACTGACAACGGGAATAAAGTTGAGACATGATGCCTTTTTTGTGAGAGAAAATCATGAAATTACTTCTCCCGCCCGTCAGGAGGGTGTCAGTCTTTTATTGCCTAAACACCCGTCCGGACTTATTGCGCTTGCCCCGCAATCCTGGCTGAAAACCATCCCTAATAGGCCCTATAGGGCCTATCTGTTGTCTATTAGCTAGACATCGATGCCTGGGTTGCAAATGCAATAACGCACCGGGGGCCCGGCTCGAAACAGAAAAAAGAACGGGGTCGTTTTTAGTCAGAAAGTCTGTGATTCCCTGCCGCTCTACTAAGACCAAGAGGAGACATTTGATGATCTTCCCCATGGTGACAATGAACAGACAGAGCGAGTACATAAAGGCGTTTTTTTTTAGTATGGAAAATGGCTTTTCTTATCAAATGACTTCACTCGACTCTCCCAATGAAATAAAGAACTCTTCTTTGATGTTCTTTTGTTACTTTTAGGCTATCGACGCGGTGTATTTGAATGGTTGCAACAAGGAGGGTGATGCTGTTATTTGCGGTATTGCGAGAAGACCGAAGCATGTTGTTGATGCTTTCCTGTTCTTAAAGGTTGGTTGCACTTTTTGTTAACAATATTTACTGTACTTCTAAACTTACTGCCGCACTCAGAGATACTTAATGATTACTTAAATGATACAATTAACAATTAAATTACTGAGAACGGCGGATAAAAGGTAGGTAGCTGTAATAAACAGTAGGTTAAACTACTGTTTCAATTTGATTTTCGACTTTATATTAAAATAATTAAGATAAAAATAATAAAAAATGTCCTAAAGACCGAGCTACCTGCTGTATCCTTAGTCTTTGACTGCCGACAGAAAACTGATGAAGGCAGATCGTTCGCTAACGGAGGTCACCGTTGACCCCCATTATACCTGATGGTACCTAAGCATTCAGCGCCGCCCATGGATATCAGCAACAACGAAGTAAAGAGTGGCTTGTCGACCTTTTTAGGATTAGGGCTTTGGAGAATTAGGGATTTGGGGAGGGGAAGTAGTTGGGCCTACTAAGAGTAGTCCATCTCATTGATACCTAGATTAAGTGGCCTCTTACCTGTATTCCTCTTACGGTCTATCTGGATAATACAAATAATTATTATAATTGGAAATATTTACCTAATAATTGAAATACCTATCTGATAAGTAAATTTTATTTACTTTTGCTTTCTTTTCAGGTCAAAGGAGAAGACCTTCTTTTATCCCCTGTGTTGCCAGACACATATCAAGAACAAGTGACGATCGAAGAGGGTTACTACAGGATAAAGGGATTAGAAATTGTCAATTTTATTCCTATGCGTACATGGAAACTAATTTACAATGGCGATATGAAGTGAGTACTAGATATATCTATTAAGCTATCTTAGGGTGAAGCCACAAGACAATATTCCGTTCACGCTGTGACTAAACGACATAGGACACAGCAAAAGCGACTTTATAGGTTCAAAATATGTTGCGTTTTGTACGATGCTCATTATGGTTGGCCTTGCGATAATAGGGATCATACCTATATTTTTATCACAAAGGGCGAGGTTTAGAAGACGCTAAGCTTTTTGAGTAGTAGCCAAACCATGCATCCCGTGTGATCACTATCATTACCTATCACATGTGGCCTTTTTTGACGTAAAAATCATCCAGTATGTTCTCCCGCCTTGGGTAGAGCGAGAGTAACTCATCCAGTATGTTCTCCCGCCTTGGGTAGAGCGAGAGTAACTGACAGATTGTTTACTGACTAGAAACTACTCCGTTCTTGCTCCTATTCCGCACCGGGGCCGCGGTACATTTTGTCTGTATACCCGGCTACAATATGTAGCTCAGGGTCCTCTTATAGACCTACTCTATAGGCTGACGGTAGACAAATGTACGTTCTTCAGTATGATTTATTTACTTTTATAACGTGACAAAAATTTCTCTAGATAAGTGTTGCCACAATACTTATGTTGTGGCCTCGCCCTAAGACTGAATGTATGATTCATTAATCCCGCATTAAGTACACTGATAGACGTTGATAATACACAGCTGTATGTCAGTTTATTTCCTATCAAGATTCGATTAGGTAGCGAAGATCCGTTATGACCGATGTTGAGGAAAAATTCGAATTTGGAATGATATTGAACTTTGTAAAAGTTTATTATCTGTTGAATAAGATTGTTTCTGAATAGCTGTGCACGAAGTTTCGATCACGCATTTTTATATTTTATCGTGATGGTATATTATTAAGTAAAATAAAATCACTAATATTTTGAAAGCCAAATAGTAAAAATCGTAACAGCCGTTTTTATGTGTTAACAAAACTAATGAACACATTTTTTTTAAATAAGTTTGTAATGTCATACAAGAGAAGAGAAAATGTTTTTGCAGGTACATACTTAATCCTATCCTGGCCATTTAGGTATATTGCTTTTTGAAGCTGTGACGTTTAAGACTCACTGAAGTAGGTACCTTAGGTATCTATGTTAGTAGGTTTAAATCAGTGTTTTTAATTTATTCACAGACTTAGAAACAAAACCGAGAAGACAGTAAAGGTGTCATTGGAACTAACATGGAGCGCTGTCTTTTCTCATTTCAACTACGACACACAGATGTCGCCAAAATCGATGGCTCGAGACATGGCCAAGGAAAAATGGTCGAGAGGCTACTTCAAATTACTTAAAAAGTAAGTAAAGTAAATCTATAACAGTATAAAGAGAAAAATATTTGAATGTTTGTTTGTTTTGATTAAATAGTATAGCCTCCGAAAAGACTTGACTGATTTGAAAAATTCTTTCAAAGTTAGAAGCCTTACACAATTATTTAACAAATGTCCGGTGAACATAAGTAGGTCTTAAACTATGCATCTGAAACAGCGGGGCACAACTAGCAGCTACTTACTTATTATATATACTTATCTAAATAATTATATCTGGTGAACCAAATTGTTTATCTTTATCGATGATTATACATTCACTTAGGGTTTATCAAATTAATTGATTATTTACTAATTTTATCCAAACATTGCTAATGATTGCGAATAAACCTGCTAAGAAAGTCATCGGAAATACCCGACTGAGGAAAAGTGAATTTAGCATGACGTCGTATCAATACTTATGTATCTACCGGTAGATAAGTTTTTGTGAAAAAAATCAAGACCTGCAGTCGAATTTGAGAGTTAATATGTAATGAACAAAGTTTAGATTCCTTGGATGACGTGATACTTTTCTTTAAAAGTATTATCTATAATTCTTATTTCAAATTTCAGGTTCCATCAAACACATTACGAACAAATGGGAGCTCTAGAGGGGACTGTCACAATTGATGGAAAAGACCACACCATCAACATACCATGTGTGAGGGACCATAGTTTTGGTAAGTAACAAACTGTGCTTAAATATATGTCATATCATTTATCCTTTACTAAAGCCTTATAGTGTGACCCATATGAGGTAGTAAAATATAGTGTAGGATCAAGCCCTTTTTAATAAACTTGCCGTTAATGGCTCCGGTCGGCTTCGAATCTAGTCGGGTATCCTCAAATTTATAACTATGTTACTTTTTTATTCTTTATTAATTTTATAGAGGGTTTGATCAAACATGAGGATAAACTATGTTACTTACGTATAGTTGAAGGAGCCGGTTCAAAACCTGGCAAGTAGCAATATGTTTCGTTTTCCCAAGATGTATGTACCTTCTATGATTATTATATAGGTACATACATACGTTGAAGAAAATCATCGTGAGGAAACCTGGCCTTATAATTTCAAATTATAAGTTTGAAATCGCCAATCCGCCTTGAGCAAGCGTGATGATTAAAACCCTTCTTCTTGTGAGAAGAGGCCTTTTAGATGTATGTATGATGTAACTTACGTACTTATAATATCTAACTTTATGTTGATATTTTTTCAGGACCTTTCAGAGACTGGAGGACTTTCCACCGCTACGTGTACCACTTCATCTTCTTGGAAAACGGGGACTGCATGGCCATTGGCTCAGTGTGTCAGCCAGCTGTTTTATCACAGTAAGTGTGCATACTTTATACATACGTAGTACGTACAGTTTTAAAAATATATTTTTTTTGATGGGGAAGTCATTGAATGCTTGCCTTGCCCTGGATGGGGCGAGAGAGAGCGTGTCAGACTCATAGACTCTACTTATATCGGACTTTTACTGACTAAAACAACTTCGATCCATCCTCTGCTCCAGGCCGGCCGCGGTACATTATTTCCCTATAACAATTTTTTCTTTTTCAGTCTAACTATCGGCTACCTCTGTCGTCAGTCAGATCAATCCGTTCTCCCGGTAGAGTTCTGTGACTTCCAATTATACCAACATGGAGAACATCAAATATTACCCAAAGACTATGGGTTCTGCTTTGAAGCTGGTAAGAAACTTTTACATAAGGTTTAATTGACATTTTTGTGATGTTTTAATGAAGAGACAAAGTACCGATTTCTCTCGGTAGGTGGCGTCTTCTCGTAAAAGAACAGCCTTTTTTGCTGTTGTTTTAGTTTTTCTTTTGCAACCCTTCTTTTAATTGAGCCACACGAAGAATACATTTTATTTTACGAAAGATACACAGAAAGATCTTTTTTATTTATGTTGAAAACAAAGCATGATTAGTGCATAACCTCTAAGAGTTGTCGGCGATTGAATGAGGTACCAACGATTGTCGCGCCATATGTAATTGATTTTACCTTCGCCTCCCTATTAGTTCCCGATGTATATTACATGTTTAATAATAATCGACAACTTAAAAATTATATCCTTATACCTGATTTCCTTAGATTTAGCTGACTTCTAAAAGATTTTTTGGTTTCTCCGTCATACGAATCTTAAACTTTGATGTGTTTCAAGCGCGCTTTACAAAATGTCTCATATAAATAATTTCAGGTGGCAAAACTTATGCAGTTCGAGTCCAAGTAGACGATGAAGAGACATTCTTTATTGGCAAGTCGAGGGAAGCCAAGTTTTACGAGAGATGGTGTAGTGTTGAAATAAATGGGGTCAAGGGATCTGCGTGTGTCGAGTGGCAGTATAACAATGTCCAGGCGAAAAGTTAAAAGAAAAAAACCTTCGAAGTATTTTATATTTTTTATATCAAACCTCTAGCCCCAAGCATGCCTTAGAAAATCTACCTAATTTGTGCCAGTTATGTAACAAGTCCTTTGTATGTTCAGGGGCGAGTTCAACCTCCATGGTTTTATTAAGAGTTTCGAAAATCGAAATAATGTTTCGATTCGTGTATTGCCAGTAATGTAATATTTTTTTATTTTATTTTTGTAGATTTTTGTAGTACTTACCTTGTGAGCGTTATGTGTTTAATTATTTATTTGAGAATTGATTAGGTTGCGTTGCTTGTTGCTTTACTATGCATTGCATAGTGAAAAATAAACAATACTGAAATGAGTAGAGATTGTTGTACGAAACCAAATCGAATTAATTAAAGACATTATTATAATTATGAAGTCAAATAATTAATTTAGATAGCAATGTTTTATTTTTATGTTTGATGGTGTAAATTAAACACAGATTAGCGAGGAAAGTTAACTATATTTAGCATAACATTTGTTTGTCTTAAGTAAGTTAATAACTTAAGTATATCTATAAAATATGGACTAGCAATATATTTCACATTATGACAATACAATTATTTCATTGAATGAAAATCATAATTTATTAATGCATTTAATACTAAAGACTAGATAACTGCGACAAAAAATCTACTATAAATTGCTCTAGCGAATAGGCACATACATACTGACTTTATTAAAATCATTCAGCAACCATAAGCAACGACTTTATGAAATAAAAATATATTTGTTATCTGTATAAATGGCGTAAACTGCCAGTCTGTTCACCTTATATTTAAGATGTTGCATACAACAGTACTTTTGAGAATTCTTTCTTGTAAATATTCTGTCGCAGTCATCTCTCCTCTCAGGACCTATCCAAAGTAAAAACCAACATTATAACTATATTTTGTTCAGCTATGTACTATTACAGAAAAATATTCTTGTACAAAATAAAATTGTTAGCAATATACTATCTCTGTATTGTTTCTTATACACCCTTGATGTACTCTTGAGAAGGGATACTCGTATACAACTTCTTTGATGATATGAGGTTTTCATTATATGATACTATCGCACACCCACATAGATATAAATAGACCAAAAGTGTACCAGAAACATATTTTGTATGTAGATATAAAATCCTTATAAAACATTGTACTTTTATTTATCGAACATCAAATATTAACCAGCCTCGTACTATAACTACATTTGTGTTATAATAATTAGGTAAATGAAACGGTGAAGTAACTAAAGTAAAAATAAAAATTTTGTTCGTTTGTGCGATTTAAAATTTTATGCACTACAGCATAGAAGCTAAAATAAGTGTTATACAATGCAAAAGCAAGTTCTAAATTTAAATAAATTATGTTTTAATTATGATGATTAAAAAAAGGTTACATTCCGAATGATAACTACATAATATACGAAGCGTACAGTCACGAACAGAACACTTTTATTACAATTGCGAGTTGTAAACCTTAATTTTTTTTTCATAAATCCCGACAATGGACACTCGTCATAACAAAGGAGTTATTGCGTTGCCGACTTCTTGTAGGTCATTAGGGATTTCAGGATAGGGGACATAAGATGAGGATTAAGGATGGGACGGGAAGAGAGTACGGGGTTGGGTCTCCGGTGATCTTATAAAGATGGCGAAACACAACGTAGGTTCACGCCGGTTTTCTGTGAAACCATGAAGCCATGATCCCCCCGGTCGAGCCGGCCTATTCGTGTTAAAGCAAGCCTCTCCTATACATACTTCATAGAAGTGAATTAGAATATTTTTTTTACCAACGTTAAGTGTTATGTTTGCGACTGCACAAAAAGGAGAACAATTCCTACATTGTAAGGTATATTGACGATTACATTTCAGGTAAATGATCCCGAATAAAATTATCAATATTTTACGTACAAGTTATGGAAGACAGACTGATTTACTTAGAATGATTTTATGGAACTTCTCCGGACTAATAATGAATCATAATGGATAGATAGCACTGACGTGCATGTCACTAACAGTAAAACATTTAAAATGGACTTTAAGTGCTGTTAATAGAGTCTGTTTTTGACGAATATTGACGATCAAAAGTGCCAAGTAATGTTTGGCGCCTAATCATAATTTAGATGTCAATTTACCAAGACATTTAGACAATTGACATTACAAACTATACGTCTAGGCCTACCACAGTCAGTTTTAATCATCATCTATCAGACTAACCGCAGTACTCATAGTCATTTAATGGTTACTTAAACCGGTACGTATCGAAAGGATAGTTCCCAAGTAATAATGATATTCTATATGTGTTTTGAATTATTTGGAAAATAAAACTTGAGTATTGAGTAATGAATGCACAAAAGTATGATATATTATTCAGTAGTTATATGTTATAAGTGGATTTTTAGGACATTTCTCAAGTATAAACAAAAATAATGAAATTGTTTTCATAATAAAATCGACATAAAGGTGTAGTTTATGTAAATATTTAATGACTTTGAGTACAGCAGTTACAGTCAAAAAGTTATGAAAAAATATTTTTAAAACGTCCAACTTTTGAATTTCTTAGTTATTATTATTAAAAACCCACATTAATAACGTCAAATCAGCTACAACGTACTAAGTCATTTTTTTGTTCGTCACGTTGATCTAAGATCGGGACATTTTATACTAAATTTCATTATAAACACGAATATTATTGGTCGGTAAGATTTTTGTAATAATACGAAATATCTCACACTAGGTTTGGCAGTATCATGGACTGGCACCCAAAGAGACCTATGACTCAAATAGTCCTAATTACAACAACAAACCTTATATGTATAATCACAAGACATAATTTTAAATGAAATGGAAATATCCATTATCAACATTTTGAAATAATGCGAAGAACATTTTTTTTATTGTTTTATAAAAAGAAACCAAGCCTCAGTTATTTAATTATTCCTACGAAAAAGAAGGACGAAATTTTGGACGTAACATAGCGCCTCATTTGTGCAAAAACTTCTTCAAATTGAACTTTAATCGTTAAGTAAGTACTGAGAATTGAGATCTGCAATCACTGCATATCGATAAACTACATAATACAGATTAAAGAATTTTCTATACTTAGACTAAGATCGATTAGAAATTAAATAAAAAAACTCTAAGGGAAGAGCCACGTCTTGCCAATAGTCTTTCAAACGCATACATAAAGCTGTAAATGATGCTTTTGTGTTTAAACAATGGGGATTCTTTATTAGAGACATTCATGGTACCAAGAATAAATGCTACTGCATAATTCCTTTAAGCTGTTCCATATTGAGTCTGATCCCTAAAATGTTACCATTTGTCTGTTAACATATGGAATGCTAAAAAATTAGAAGATGGTTTAAGAATTGAAAAAAAAGTAAAAAAAGAACATCAACTTGCGTAGAGTGTCTATATAGGTATAATTATTGACAAATAAATGTAAGTAGGTACAGAAATACAACATTAAAAATTTAAGGTACTTAGCTTCAATTTATAATTGACTTATAAATTGACCACCGACGAGGTTGGAATCTTGCTCCCGCCTTGTTTAGTGACAGCAAAAGAACAGTATAGAATCGTGATATTCGGTGCGGCCAAACGTAGTCTTAACCTTGGAGTATTTTTATAAACATTTCATCACAGGCCTTAGTCTAAGCATAGAATCCTAGACCGTCGAGACTACAACGGCAATTGGAATGGACATCAGACTAGACGAATACTAATCACAGCATCTAATTAACATAGTTTTATCAACACAGAAATGTTCTTAACATTCCATTCGACGGTATAACACAGTGATATAAGGCAGGAAATATTTTAATTAAGTACTGTTTTAGAAACTCCACGATACATACCTACGATAATAATAAAAGCTCATTTCTCTAAACAGGATTTTCGAAATAACTATACCCCTACTACATCGAAATAATATTATTTTCAATTTATTGCTAAGCTAATAGCCCAAAGTATATTAATTTGTATAAAGCACAATAATAATACGAAGATTTATTAGAATATAACACGCTAAACAATTAAATACTACGTGGAAATATAAATACAGTTTTAAAATAAATTATATAACTTTGTTGTCTTTCACATAAAATATTATTGTAAGGAATACTGTTGAAGTTCATTATACTGACTAGATTTGTCTTTTAAGTTTACCGAAATGAGCACATCACTAAAAAAAAGTAACTAAATTAATCACAATTTAAAATCTAACAATTATAATGTAAATCGTCGTTTGTAACATTGCACTCCTGTCCACTTAATCTAACTTAGGACGTAATAAACAAAATAAATAATGACATAATAAAAATTGAACATTTTGAAAATTGTAAAATAATAAAATATAACAACAACAAAATATAAACCTCTTTGGTTACTGTAATACTTTTTCGTTACGATGACTTGATAAAAAATACAATCGAAAAAGAACTGGCTGATTTTACGCATTTCGTATTTCGAATGTATATAAAAAAACATTTGGTTATTTTAGTGGTATATGAACGTTTTGGTGACTGGGGAGGTTGTCTCAATGTTATTGAACGTTACATACCGCGGAAGTGCCTGGAGCATGGTCGAGGAGAGCTCTTCTACGCTTGATACCTTCGAGATAAACTTCGCGGTTGAACAAACCAGCTGCTAAGGGTACGCTGTAACAATGATCATGACAACTAAAAGCACTACTAATTGTTGGTCCATCTAAAATATTCATACTGCAATTGGGATACTACGTAATAAATTATTTCGCCTTTTTAATTACTTAATTAGAACGTTCAAAGTAATCACAATGACATATAAAAAAGGTTAAGCAAATTTTGAAAAAAAGGGAGTTTCGATATTATTATATCAAATGAAATTCATAGAAAACAACGGCCTTATTTATTACAAAACAAGGTTTTTCTTCAGTCTAGGTCTAAATCATTGAGCCAGTTCTTGTATTTCGAATTGAAGGTAGATGAGAATAAGATTCATAATACCAAATACTACCATTGATTTAAATGTTTTAAACCTAGACTAAAGATACATCTTGTTTTGTAATAAGGAGGTAATAGTTCTCAAAACTTCGAAAAATATGCATATATTTCAATTTTTTATTTTATTACTTGCAAGCGCGCATTAAATCCCTTACGACAGTAAAGTACTTAAAAAGAAACTAACATTTAGACTAGTGAAATATTTCAGTAAACTTACACATCAGTCCCTGGTCGCAGCATAGTTGAGAACAGTCCCCAAACCGGCTTATGGTCGCTGGTACACACAGATTGCACGCTGTTGTACGCCAAGCATTTGACGCCAGACGTAACTGGCACCGAGCTGATCCGCCGCAGACCTGCAACCACTTCCGTGTCAATATCAGAAAGGGATGTTTTATAACGCTGCGTTATAAAATAATATGATAGGATAGTGGAAGTAGTCATAGATAGGTAGTATAAGAACAGCATAAAAATATAGGTATATATAAATAAATTTGTAATTTTATAGTCTGTGGTATTAGTATAAAAATAGTTTACATTGAATAAGTTTATTGTACCAATTTTTTTAGTTTATGGAAAAGTTTTTTAAATTGAATAGAATATTAGTTTTTTTTTGTTAGTGGAAACTTTGTTAAATTATATAAGTAGATAAGTTAAGGATAGTCATGTGTATTTACAGAAAAAATGGATATTGATGCAAAGTCAAGTATTAGTCGAATATTAAAGTTAAAAAGGATAGGTAGCTCAATAACAGAAAAGTTGTTTTCACATTTTTTTATTTGTTGGTATAATTACGACAAACTAAGGAACACTAGAGGATGGAAGAAAGAGATAGAGTGAAATAGAGGAGCGAGGGAAAGAGAAAGAGTTTTGTTATAATACACAGAAAACAGAGGGTGGTACATTTAAAAATACCTATCGTATCATCCGAAGTCATGGTGCATTCCTGAAAGTCTACATTCACGACATTAAGTTAAATACATACAATGAAATAATCATTCTACACATGATTAAACAAATGTACAGCTGTAGATATTTTTTTAGTTAAAATAAACATAAATTATTTCGTGTCATATTGTTATCTAACATAATATCAATTCAAATACTTAGTCACTTTACAAAAAAAATATCAGTATCAAAATTGCGCAAGAGTATTCTTTGAGCGCAAAGACTTTGCGCAAATTTTCCCTACTTGCGCAAGACCGCGAAAATTGCCGTCGTACACAATGATATTATGTATTATTCAAACATTACAAATAAAAAAATATATCAACATTAAAGGTTCTTTTTTGCAAATTAGTCACGTTACAATAATTGAATGTACTAAATAAATAAATAAAAAGCTCACCGGAAAACGCAGATGACGAATTAGTGGTCATCGATCTCGCTTTGTACAATATCCTGTCTGTGTAAGCCGGTGCTCTTTGTTTGCTCGACGTGTCAAATTGTTGACTGCCAGGATCGTACTGGAATAAAAAAAATAAGTACTTGAAATTAATTTCTAAGGCGAAGTCAAACAAACATTCAAAGCAGAATTGTTAGAAAAACCTTTACATAAAAATACTTCATTCTTAGAAAGCGGGTTGGAGATTGTAGCTTAAATGGTTCCGGTTTATGAGAGCTGATCAGGAGACTACAGTATTAATACAGATCTCTACTTAAATTGAAGTATCTTAATCGGCTCTAAACGGCATCCAGAGGAAGAAGATGATAACACATTCTATTCTGCCGTCAATCCGCGGAAAACTTGTTAATAACAAAGTCTAAGTCAAAATTAATTGGTTTGCAAATTTATGGAAAGAATTTTAATTGGAATGCATGAAGTACTTTTTTTGTTGGGGGAAATCATCATATGACTTCTCTCACCCAAGGTGGGGCGAGAAGAAGTATCAGACTTTTACTGATTAACAACCCCCGTTCCTTCTCCTGCTCTAGGCCGAGGCCGCGGTGCCTTATTGCGCTTGTCCTGCAACCTCGGCTGAATAAACGAGGTACTGCGAGAGGAACTTAAGAATTTTGTTATTTTTTGTGGTTAATATAATTGGATCTATTAATATAAATTAATAACGAATGAGTCGGCTCCATCGGAGATACCTGATACTCCGGCCTCACCGAAAACCGGTGTGAAACAACCACAGCGTTGTGTTTCGCCGTATAAGTGAGGTTACTGGAGCTGCAATCCTTCCCCACCTCCTATCCCTCCCCAATCCCAAAATCTCCAAATCCCTAATCACTAAAAGGTCGGCAACGCACTCGTAACTCCACGGTTATTGCGGGTGTCCATGGGCAGCGCTGATTGCTTACCATCAGGTAATCCGTCTGCCCGTTTGCCGAGCTATTACATAAAAAATTGAAATGATTACCTTGTAAGTAGGAGGAAAGGTGATGGGTGCCTCCCTAAAGTCTCGGAAGGCTGCTCCATCTTCTAAGACCGCAGTCAACTGATCCGCATGAAGTAGCCCATGCGGCAGGTGATGTGGTAACGGGAACTGAAAAAGATTGGTTGGGGATTACTTGGGAACAAGAGATTGTCATTTAGAGGTAGGCTTATATAGAAGGTAAGGTTAAGCTATGCCAGTCAAGGTTTTATGTGGATTGATGAGCTTTCATATCACGGAATGGACATCGGGTTTTCGGTTCCATGAGTCAGATGTAAGGGAGATTTTAGAGCCATTAAGATACAAATAGATTGTGGCGGCACAAAGCTAGTTTTGGAGCTTCGAAGGAAATCGTAATATTGCATTATTGTAAAAATAATGACATTTAACAACTTGTGACCTAGTATAGATAGTAGTTTTTGCGGGCCAATACCTACATATAAAAAATATTATAGATAATATCAAGCAAACAACATACTTCAGTTTGTTCTATCCATCGCATCAGCGCAGCTCTAGGTTCCCCCAATCTGAAGTTTAAGTCTCCACACCAAAACACGTAGTCGAAATTATTTGTGACGTCTGAAAGGAGAATTTTAATTAACTTATCACGCCGTTTGACCTTGAAGAAATGGATTGTAACACTGACAGAAAGTCAGTAATCGAGTCTTATGACTAAAAGGAACCGATTTTAATGCCGACTAGCTAACTCCACGAACTTAGTAACGCCATTTCAATTTAGTTTCTTGTCTATACTAATATTATAAAGCTGTAGAGTTTGTTTGAGCGCTTTTCTTAGTAACTACTGTTTTATCGAATTGAACAATTATTTTTGTGTTTGTTAATCCATTTATCGAAGAAGGTTAGGTATAGGCTAAACAACAAAACCTATGCTACGATCTGTAGGAGGCGAGCAGCAAGTGAAACCGCACGAGAGTAGCTAGTTAAATATACATCGTGAATTCGTGACTTCAAGAGTAGTTTGTATGGAGATAGAAAATTCACGTTTACAGAAAATTACTCGCAATTCTTTTTAAATTGTGTCTATTTACCTAAACCTTCTCTGAGCTTACAGACCAACATTAACTAAATCACTTCAGAGATTAACAAGCAGCTTTCCATTTTTATATACACAAGAAGAAAAGAAGAAGTTAAGGCGAATTTTGAATATCCAAAGACCCACGATTCTTGCATCTTGCTTAGGCAATAAATCCGAGCCCCAATGACGCAAGGCACTTATATCACAAAGAAAATTTGTTGTGACGTTTTTTGATATATTTAAACGCAGATATGAGATATATATTTAAAGGAAATTGATAGCTTATCAGTGTTAATATTATTTACCTAGTTTTGTATATGAATATGTATATGTAGGTATAACAATAGTTTGGTGTATTTTCTTTAAAATAATGAGTCATATGTCAATGTAGAATGTAATTCTAAGCACTAAAAACTAGTCACGGCAAACCACATACAATATTATGCTATAGAGTAATTTCTACATCACAATTCTTTTCATAAAAGTAAAACAATCTTAAAATTGGAATAAAAAATGTTCCTATTACCAATTAAAAACAAATAAAAATGACATACCTTTACTTTTATGCCGACAGGGCAAATTCTTTGGTAAATCTATAGACCTAATTATCCTTTTGATATCAGAAACTCGTTCTTTAACCTTCTCTTGGTGTGCAGTCAAATGGGCCGTTACAAATAAGAATGTGGAACCGAACAGTGCGAAGGAGATAGCAACAGCTCCTTTAGTTCGAAAGGCTGTACCAGGTCGTACTGACAAACTTGCATCTTCAGGGAGAGAACAAAACCAAATGAGGTCTCTTCTTATAAATATCATTAAGTGAATTGTGCCTGTAATAAAAGAAAAAAAAATGAGTTTAATTATCATATTAATAATACAAATATTCTCTTTGAGGATGATCTAATTAGAATATTTAATTGTTCTTTTTATTACACAATTGCACGATTTTCTTTTAAAATCCATCAAAAGGATTATTATTAACGCGGCCTGCGTGTGGCGAGGATAGATAAAAAAAAATCCAGTTCGTTCTTTTACTAGGGGCAGGGGGCGCGGTATACAATTGTTTTTTTAAATAATCTTGTCCCACATTAGGATTTTCTCCTGTGTCGTGGGTGCGGTTACAAACATACAATTTCACATACACATGACACCCAAACCCCGAACAACAATTTGTGGATCACACACACACGTTGTTCCGTGCGGGAATCGAACCCGCGACACGTTGCACGACAGCCAGTTGCCCAGCCACCGCACCAACCGTGCATGTCAAGTCAATAATATTGTTATTATTTGTATATTTTATTGTTGTTTTTAGCGGTATGTATTATTGTGCTTGCTCCTGCAATCCCAACTGGCTTATGCAAGGGTAGCACTGTGATTCTCGTAACAAACAACTTTTCGTGTGTCTCACAAATTGTTGTTTTAAGTCTGAGTGTGATGTGTTTGTAAATGCGTATGAAAAGACATGATAATGTGCTTAATTTATAGGTAAGTATGACTCAGGAGAAAAACCTAGTGAGAGTTAATATCGTTTCCGAAAACAATATGTGTTATTTATTTCTAAAATTGCTGTAAAAAAATCGACGAACGTTTTTACAATCCAAAAGCTGATATTCAGTTACCTAAAAATAATGACTGCTACTAAAATAAAAAAATTATAAGGACAAGGACAGAGAACTATATGATTTATAATGTGTGTATAGTGATAGATAACAATAAAACCGAGGTTGAAACTGAGTTACGCCATTCAGAGGCATCTGAAGCAATTTTGATATTATTATTACACCGTGTAGCTCCTTTGTTTTAAATATAAGTTCTAATCTATGTACTAAGTCTTCTCTCTTAGTACATAACATAATTATAAAAGTTCGGAACTAACTAGAACCTGTTGATTACATAAATATAAGTCAGTAAATATTTGCTATTAATGTAACATCATACTTCTAATGATTACAGAAAAACTTTCCTGTCTCATTGTATCAATAATAAAACATTGCTATGGTTACTTTATCATAAGAAATATTGTTTACAATGTCAAGTGTATTTACTTACAAACTCTGTTCTTATAGACATATAATAAACAACAGAATAAGTAAAATGACTAGCTCATTTACACTGTTTACAAGCCGTACCTAATTGAGTCTACACGGAAAAGATGCTCATTACCATATGTTAATGAGTTCACATATTGTTACTAACCTAAATAATATGAATGCAGCAACAGATGCGATGGTCCCAATACTTCCTGAATTGTTATCTCCCATTCTGTTCGCTCTGAAAATGACTCTTGTGTTCCAATTGCAAATATATCTGGTACATGGGTCACTTGATTTGGGAAGATAAAATCAGCTAATTCCCTGATAAAAAATTAACCACATTAATAAACATAACACTTACATTATGACTCATATTTTAAATGTAAAAAGTTTATTACTTGGGTGGTGGTTGTCCATTCATATTCCATGTTCCGACAAATATTTTGACTTCTCTATCTGGGAAGACATGCTCTAGCTCAGCAGCTCCAAGAAGAGAATGGGATGCAAGACGACCATATAGGTAATTTCTGAAATGGGAGTAATTACTATATCCTTAGATCCTTACAAGGAAGAAAACATTACAATAAGCCAGACAAATTTAAGCACATACCATTTAAGATAGTTTTACACTACACTACACTGTATTTTTATGAACTGATGTAGAAAATACAACATAATCAACATTTAACCTTTCTCGTGCCTCCTGAGTGGGTATGAGACGCAGCACTTGTGCAGCGAGCAGCGAGTTACGAGCTAAACTGTCAGTGCTCCCAGCACGCGAAGACGACCGTGCTATAGTCGACTTGGTCCTAATGCAGACAATTACAACAATACAATAGAAACCTTCCAACACCAGCACCAAAATATAATAAACAAAGAATACTTTACCTTCTTTTTCGATCTAAAGAGCTACTCCTATCACTCTCAGGCGACGAGGCGCGGTACAACGGCTTTGACTCATTCGATATCAAATGATCAGCTGATAATCTCTTAACAAATAATTTACTCTTTGGTTTGATCCCTTCAAATGATCCAGAGTGCTCAAAGCATTTCTTAGCATCATCACTTTTAGGGAACTTCACTGTAGCTTTAGGTATTTCTTCAGATTTTGTTTGTGAACAGATAGTTTGATCACTTATGCTGTTGGAATTATTCTCTGGACTACCTGTTACTGATCGAGCCTCGTCTTTAAGAATCTGGTTGTCGACGAGGCTTTTAGGGCGTGATCGTCTGAAGAATGTTCGACAGCACTTCGGATTACTGTCGTCTTCGTGATGGTAATTGGGTGCTGAATGACTTACATTATTATACAGTGGTTCTGCTGAAGAGTTTGGATGGTTCGACGCTTCTATGCTGTGGTCGGCATTATGAGCACTTTGAGCTAAGAAGGGATCCGCAGGAGAGATAGGTCGAGACGAACTCTGCGCGAATTCGTCATTGGAATCTGTATCGACGAAGCACCCAACTTTCGGTGATTTCTTGACAAACAGGCGTTTTCGCAGGGACAATTTTTGTTTCGTTTTTGTAGGTGAAGTTGTCATGTTTGGTTTTCAACCAACAGAACTATTAATTTATGTTACTAATTACATTTTTACTAAATATAGACAACATAACCTATTACTCTTCTAGACTGACATTTTGCGTTAAGGAAACTGTCAAAGTCTTATAGATACGTTCAAAACACCTTGAATGAAAACACCAGAAGAAAACATTTTTATTGAAATCCTACAAGATTTTCATGAATCTACCACTAATTTACATTGATACCTACACCTACAAAATAATCATAGAATTATTTACATTCTGGTTGCCATAGCAATGAGTACAATTTTACGGTTTACGTAGGTAGTTTGTATATCATGAAGTTCGTTTTGTTCACAAATTAACATTTTATCAATATTTATATGAATGAAACCAGATTATTATACGTAATATCGACATGATAGGAATGCACTTATGGTATTTTATAGTGGGTGCTGACCGGCTGACGAGTTATAAATGAACAAACAAAATTGGGAAGCAAGTAGGTTAATTAGGTAGGTTTAGGCAAAGTAATAAAAGAGAAGTTGTTGTAAAATAGAATAAACAATAAAAATTATATTATGGTCCCCATAAAAATGCTTATAAGTAATAACACAACGCTCATTTTTACAGCTGCACTGCTGCCTGTGCCGGGTACAAGTAGATTCTTTCCGTTATATTCTGGTGTTGGAGATAAATTGCCACCAACTACCGACTGTATTCCATCACCTGCAAAAAATATGTTAATTAGTAAAAGTAACTAAAAGTTGTACACGTACCTACCTACCTGGCTTCCTAAATATCAAAAGTAAGTAATTGTAAAGAATATAATGTCTTCGGTCCCCTACGTTAATATCGTTGATTAATAGATTTTTACAATAAGTTCTTATTGAGGTAAGTCTACTGTATCAAAAAGACGGTAGCAATTCCATAAGTTAATTATACATACCTACCTACATTAAGACACGAGGTACCTACTCTATTTTATCTGTTTTTGTGTGTGTGTGTGTGTGTGTGTTTGTGTGTGTGGTATCTGATATCTATATCAGATGACTTCTCTCGCCTGGGTGAGACGAGATGGAGTGTCAGACCCTCACTGACTAAAAATTTTATGGAACTGCAGTACATTATTGCGTCTGTTCTGCTTTAGCAAAGTTAGTTTAAAGCTATAAGAAGTGTGAGTAATCCGTTTTTGAGTAAAGTTATTTGGACTATCCAAATTCCTAGAAATGTGGGTAAATAAGTGACTAGGTACATACCGATATTACAACGATCAGAAGTACAAGCTCTGTAAAAGGTTCTGAACGTATGATCCGATACTTCATGATTCAGGAAAACTGGTCTGGCCTCACAACCACGGCTAAAACTGGCAACTTGACCAACAGGATCCTGAAAAAAGGGTTTAGGTACCTACTGTTATTTTTGATTCGTTTTTATTTTGACTTATTTTCACTACGCATTACGTTCTTTAGTTTGTCGAAGTACATACCTACCTATATAATCCCGTTACCTATATGTATAATCCAAACGATAGAAGGAGTTCGGCAACTCGCCAGTGACTCCGGGTGGACGGCGCTGTTCTTTTGCCTCCTATTCCATAAAAAAACGAAGTTGGAGTCCACACCTTATTTTACTTGCTTTCTGAAATCTCCCACTATTTGGGAGTAATGACAACTACCTAATGTCTTTTGAATATAAAATATAGGTAGAACTTACCATAAATTCTTGTCTCAGAATGGTACAATATGTATGCGGACAATCAACAGTGGGTGTGTCATCGGTGATCGTCAAGCACTCCTGGTTGGAGTCTACTGATGAAAAACTGCAGGAGTAGCATCTTAATTGACCTAGAAAGCATTCATAGGTAGGTAAGTTGTAGGTTTGGCCTTCATAAATGATGGTCAATGGGTATTGTTTTATTTATGGGATGGGGTAGCAAGGGAGCCTCCATTTCACTTGTCAATCGGCGTCGATCGTGGACCTCTAGAAAGAGACAGAGTGGAATGGAAAGAAAACGAGGATGCTTTTATCCCGAGAGCGTTCCTTTACAAGAAACGCGTTAATGCTACTTATTTGATAACACATGGATAAATATTAACAATCTAGAATAAGCGTAAACATAGCAAGTAATGTTTAGAATTAATATTAACTGTGTGCAAGGAATAATAAGGGCTTTATTACTGAAGTAGGTAGGTACCTAAGACATTTTAGAACCCAATAAGTAATTTCATTTTCCTCGTTAAACACAAAAGCCAAACCCCTTACAAAACGAAAGGGTGTAAGTATTTTATTTAGATAAATGCCCGGATTCCTTTTTGTTGTTACTAACTAAATTCCTATGGCTACAGCAAAGAAAGCTTGGGCGTGATTCATCATGCCCAAGTGCCCACTGCTGAACAAAAATGTAGCGTAAGAAGCGTGACTATGTTGACAAAATGTTCGAATCCCATATTCATTACCAAAGCATTTATAACTTAAAATTAATAGGTAGGTAGGTAATATAATGTGCTACGGGCCTTTTCACTAAGTATTTCAAATAAGTACTTACCAGGTAAACTGAATATGTAGCACATTGTATACCTTCTTACCTATAATTTACCTACGTTCTATATTCAAATTTAAAATATGACCGAGGGTTTCTTATTTTACTTATTATTACAGTAATGTAGGTACCTACATACCTTACCAATTTTCAACCATCTATGTTCCTATAGGTATAATATATCAAAGAAAAATACTCACCAACAGTTTTTCCAATAACACAAGCAAGCACAAACAACACTATTTTCGTATCCATTTTGCGCAAATAAACATTCCTTTGTCACTAAAACGGGCGCACTTGAGGTAATTTTTGATATCACTCATTATAATCATTATCGATATCGATGAACAATGTGGTTCCTTTAAACACTATCTAATCAAATTTAATTTATCTTTAATTGTAAAGAAATCACAGATCTAGGATGTTTTTTGTTTGATGTACCTAAATTGATAGCTGGGTAATCGATGGTTCTGTAGGTAATCGATTAACTTGCAACTACACAAAGGTACTTTATTAAACAATGAATCAATTTATGACGTCATTAAATAAGAAATACGTGTTTTACAGGCAACGTACGAACGTCATTGTTGGACCGTTTTTCTATGCTTTATCCTGTATGTGTGTAAGTTAGGTCTATCTCTTTGTATAAATTAAAAAAAAGGAAAGACGTATTATTATCCACCGACATAGTATAAAGACTTTATACTATGCCACCGACATATATAGGAACTTAGGTACCTACCTATCTTTTTGAATGCCACAATTGATGCCTAGATATTATTTTCAGTATAAGTTACCTAAGTAGTTAAGTACCTATTTAAGATTTTTGTTGTTGTTTGGTACCTAGAGAATAAAAAAGTGAATGTCTTTGCTAAAGTTCTTTATACTTATACATATAATGCCTACGTCATAACACCTACCTGCATGTCAAATCCGTCCGTCCAATAATAGATCACTATATGTCAGTCAGTCAGTCCCTTTAATTTGAGTTTTATATTTATTTGTGTGGAATACAACAACAAACAACAATAAATAACAAGTGTGGGAGAGCCAAGCTTTGGCACGAATGGGTCGGCTCGACCGGAGTGATACCACGGCCACACAGAATACCGGCGTGAAACAACCACAGCGTTGTGTTTCGCCGTGTGCGTGGTGTTACCGGAGGCCCAATCCCGCCCCTTCCCCTATCCCTTCCCGATCCTTATATCCGCAACCCCTATACCCAAAAGGCCGGCAACGCACTCGTAACTCCTTTGGTGTTGTGGTGTTCATGGGCGGCGCCGATTGCTTACCATCAGGTAATCCGTCTGCTAGTTTGCCGACTTATAAATACCATAAAAAATTTTGATAGGTCCTACCGAACAATGATAATTTTTTAGGTAATGTACGTAGGTACATGCAAAAAAACCAATTCATAAAAAAACATACTATAAGTAAGTACCTATCTATGTAGGAATTTCTTATATCTACTTAGGTAAAATTACTGTCTCAATCTGTAATGTGGCATTTAAATAATTCATGTTACCTGATCCAGGAACCGAGTAAGCAACGCAGATGGCCGGCCAGTAGCCGGTGTTTATCTTAATTGCTATTTCACTCGCCGCTGGTCGTGCATCAATCCAGCCAGCGAGATCCAGTTGGCGACCAACTCGCAATAATCGATTCCCATGTAATTACCGGTTTTAAAGTCGATAACGGCGCAGTAATGTAGGTGCGACAGACTGCCTGGCTGCCTTTGGAAATGTTCCATTCCATAGAAATGTTATCTATAGCACCTATAGATAGTAGTGGTTAAACGAAGAAATAAGAGTTTGTTATTTTTTTTAGTCGGTTTTTAATTAGGCTGGTTACAATATAGGCGTGGCTTTGAGTTCCTAAGTAATTTGAAAGCTTTCTTAAGTAAACTATTGTTTAGTTTTAATAAAAATATTTATGTTTAAGTGGGATATAAGTAAGCCTTTTAGCCCTACGCTAGGATTTTCCCCGTGCGTGCGTTAACAAACATACAAATTCACATCGACAAGTCACCCAGACCCGGAATAACAATATGTGAATTATACTGCATACTTTTAAAAGCAATACTAAAAACAGTAAACTTATCTAACAGTGCAGTACTTTTAAAAACAACAAAACATTTTATTCTACTCGTAATTGATTACGTATTTTCATTTGTTTTCGGTGAACGAAAATTTCGACTCCAAGGAGTAGGAAAGCCAAAATCATTCCGTAGAGCAATATCAAACAGACAGGATAAAAGTCCACCATATTGACTGAATCAAAGCTGCCACCCATGACGGTGCAAGCTGGTTTCTTGGCGTAAATTAATCGGTTTTCTCTGTCACTCAAACCGTGTTCTTGGATCCTGATATACCTGTAATAAAAGGGTTGACATGTTAACTATGTAAGTCAATGGCATGGCCACCTGTGCGAAGTAAGATTATAATTTGCATGTTGCGAGGACTTGCATGTTTGTATTGCTATTTAATGACGTGCTGAGGATAGGAAGACATACATACACGAGTATGTACTGAATAAAATCAAAGGATGAATAGTGTATTCCAAACTGAACCTTCTGGAATTGTGCCTATGGTATTGTTTAGTGTGTATTAATAATTATTCGTTAATTTTGTCATCTTACATTATATGACTAGTAAATAGAATGTAAGCTTAATATGGAGGTAGGGGCAAGTTTTGGCGTTCGGCAACGTCACGCACACAACGAAGCACAACGATAGAGATGGTTCATGTTGCATTACGGTGAGGCTATGGTATCACACCTGTCGAGCCAGCTCATGCCTGAAGCATGGCCCTCCTACACTTTTGTGTATTATTGCAATAATTCCAATAATTTCTTACCCAACTTTAAACAATTCCCCGTAAGGAGACAACCTTCGACTACATAGCCAAGGGTTACTGTTTGTAATGTATTCAATTTCTTGAAGCCCACATTTTTCATGTTCTTGGAATATTGCTGAAACGATTCTGTAACCGGTGCCTGTGTTCATATTAAAGGCAAATGGTTTCTGCGAAAATTTATTGCGGACGTTAGACGAATATTATGACAGAAGGTATAGAATAAATTCGATCTATAATCATTTTTATACCTTTTGCATTGTCCTAACTCCTTGTTCAATGTCCATAACATTGGTTAGCACACCCTTAGGTGCAATCTTAGTCTCAACTAGTGCTTTTTTAATTGGATCGTCTGCTGTGTATGCACTCTGTGAAACATTACAAAGGCATTAAAAGTATAAGGAAACAACAAAAAAATAAAGAGGAAAATAGAAAATATATCAAATTTTATAGTCAATTCTAGTCAGATCAAGTCTTTAAAAAGAAAAGCTCGGTTGGGCGTCTTTTGTCTCGCCTTCCAGTTGGTTTTAAGTACCCACAGCGATTGTTCACATTTCTTATACTGGAATTGCTAACGCAGATGCGATTCACGGAACGATATTTTATGGGATCCACACACTGTGGTTCCGGGTCAAATTTAAATTATATGAGTAGAAAATAGGAAAGAACTTAAAAAATCTTACTGAGAAATAGAATTTATTGAAGGACGCACGCTCCAGCCCTAGTTCCAGTCTGGAATGCAATAGATCAGAAAGGGTCCGAATTTGATTCGAGGTCGATTGAAGGAGTACAACAATATTGGCAGAGTACGACGTGTATAAGAATACAAATGCCAAGAAAACTAAAAACATGACGAGACGCCCCAATGTTCCTGGAAGAAAAAGAAGAAAAACCAATTAAAAAGGATGAAAGGGAAACTGGAAATAACTGCTTCATAAATTCAAGTTGCAGTAGGTACCTTTAAGTTCATTAGAACTCCCTTGTTGAGATATAGCACTCAAAACAAAAATGGTTATGTCGCTCCAAGTTGGTGGCAGGCACGATTGGTCAATTTTTTGCTAAAACAAATTGTTAATCATGAGGCGAATAAAAAATACCTATCTATAATTATTTACTTGGTTTAGCTTACCTTGTTATAATCTTCGTATTTCTTTATATCCCATCTCGTATTTATATACAATATGGCAATTAATATAACAATAAATGCACCAGTGCATATCCAGACACCAGTGGAAAATGGCAGAAGGTATAAATTATTCTGGTACGATAAAGGCGGTTGTCTGAATACGAATTTCAATGTGATTGGTGTAGGATGGGTCAAATATTCCAAAATTGTCATACGTTCTTTTGTTATAAACGTGACCATTCCTAAAACAATACAAATGGCAAATTGAGATTGTGCAAAGTTTTTTTTTATGAGGGGGAAAATCGTCAAATGATTTCTCCCGCCAAGGCGTTTCAGGCTTTGGGCAGGAGGAGATTGAGCAAGGTTGAAGTGGTGTTTTTTCGTTTCTTCTTCTTCTCAAATAACATTCTCCTATTTATTTCTTTGCAGGATTCAAGACGGTCATTTATGAAGCTTGGACGCGGCATACTACAGTATTTCGATATTTTCATGGTTGTATCGACTGAAGATACTGGCTAACAGGAGTTACAGCGGTTTCGGGAGACTGCGGCGGGCTATTCCCATAAAAAAGTCAAACAAAAAGAAAATAATGCAAAGTGAAGAGTACCACACAAATCAGCTTCTCCGCGATATATGTCACCGATCATTCCATTCCACGATCCATTTATGAAATAGCCCCAAGTCTCAGAGAACTTTACAACTTTAGTTGCATTAAGAAAATCGAATAGAAGAACAATTATACGAAAACTGCTTTTGGCGGGAGTGTCTATAAAGATGTTACTGAAAATAAAAAAGAACACAAAATTAATAAGACACACATACATTATTGATGAATTCGATCTAGAAAATGAAGTTGAAGTTCATGGATACCCAAGTCCAAGTAAATCAGTTTTAGTTCTATTGTCCGATATAGCAACGGAGGTTATCAAAGATTCTCCCTTAAAATCCTTTCGTCTCATAACATTTGATTCAATTCTATCCTTCGATTTGGTGAAGCCAGTATGAGGTGTCCAGGTCCCGTAGTCTTCTATAATCCATTCAGTGTGTGGTTTTAATTTGTAGACTGCAAGAATTTTTCAAATTTTAACAATTATTCCTAAAACAGGCTTTTTACCAATGATTTAGACATATGCACATATAATATGATTAAGATAAGCCAAGTTATTTAGTTGGTGAGCAAGTGAATAACAGTTTGTTCTGTACAGAGAGGGAGAGAATGTAGCCATTGTAATACTAAATTGTGTGCTTTTTAACAAAGCCGGATCTTTAAGTTATGTAACTATATACTCACAGGTATATACTAAAACTTCATTCGAATTTTCCTTTTCATCAATAATTATAACCTCAGAATCCACTGAAATCTTAATGTCGTTGAAATCTGGAGAAACATAACGGGTACTATCGTTTATTGTTAACGTTTTTCCAAGAATCAGCCATCTGTACGACTTTCTGAACTTGAGGTTTTCGCTGGCCTAGGAAAAAGAACCTTTTGAGTTTTGGACAAAAATAAATTACTTTATTTGAATTGAAAAAAAAACACATACCCATCTGAGGAAAGCATTCGCATCTTCACAAGTTCTGTTCAGAACAAATAGTAGATTATTATTTGGGTAATTGTCATTCTCAATTGTTTCATTATTTCGTAAATATCGAATGTTTATAGGTCTATTTAGTTTTGCTAACATTTTTGCCAATTTCGCTTCTACAGATGCTGCAAATAAGAATTACTCGTATATTTTGTCCATTGTTAATTTACAATACAGTTACGTTTTCACATCATCGGACTTACCATATCTATTGGAGTCCCAACACATCTTAGCGACAACTGAAGTGGGTTTATCAAATGACTTGGCGACATCCGCAATTATTTGCAGTTCGGTATTTGTATTAAGGGAAACACAAAAGTTGATCCAAATTATATTTAAGAAAAATATAAGATACTTCATGGTGAACACTACAATAGTTTGTGATGTCACAATGAAATTGACGTAAGAAATGTTAGCTACTACCATTTATCCAGCTATTAAATCGAAGCTAATTGATGATGTGGCTTGTTAATTGGCTATAATACACCGTTTTATTACTAATCACAAGGGTTGTCCTACCGTTAAAGAGTTTACGAAACAAATTATTCATAATTCAGTGTTAACTACAGGTTTAGCTTTAATTCAAACCACTAATCGTTCTACATTAAGTGCTGTTTCGTCTAAAGAATTAATTTCTGTTATTATTCGTAATTTTCGTCTTTTATACATTTCAACTTTCGTAATACTTTTTCTCTTTTATGGACTAAAATTTCTAAACCAAGGAAGCATAGTGCGACAATTGTTCCGTAAGATAATATCAAAATAGCAGGATAACAGTCCACCATGCTGACAGATACGAAGTTTGATCCTCCTCCTGAACATTTTGGACGTTTCTCGTACATTAGACGGTTTTCTCTGTATTGTAATCCATGTTCTTGAATTCTTTTCGTTCTGTGAAAAAATATATTACTCAGCTAGTAAAAAGTGCAAGCTAAAGCTACATTATGGGCATACTCGGTTCCCCAGTACAGTCCTTTAAAGTGGCTTATCGAACTTTTTTTTAATCAAATGAATTCTGTAAGGACACTTCGTAACAAGCCGATATTATTATATTACACAAAAAATTACCCTATTTTGAACATCTCTCTAAATGGAGTGTCTTTTCTTACAGCTAGCCAGGGGTCTATTACTTGCAAGTACTGGATCTCACGGAGACCACATTTTTCTCCTTCATTGAAATATTTTCCTACGAACTTGTAACCAACACCTGTTTCCATGTGAAATGCGAACAGTCCCTGAAAAAATTGACCTTTAGTCTATGCGCCTTTTGTTAATTGAATTAGGGGACTTAAAAGAACCTTGCGCATTTGTATGACTCCTTCATCCATAGTCATGAATCGAGGAGTGGTGCCTGGTGGAGCCACTTTCTTCTCATAAATTGCCTTTCTTACTGGTTCCGTTGCTGTCTGTAACATAGACGCTTTTTAGATTCGTAGACTCTAAGCTAAATAAATGAAGACTGAAAATATTTACTTACCGAGAAATAGTATCTATTGAACACCGTATCATGAACCCCAAACTTGATCCTGGAATGTAGCAAATCATCAAGAGTTTTGATGTGAGAAGAACTGGATTGAAGAAGGGCGACGATGTTTGCTGAGTAGGAAGTATAGAGGAACATCAGAGCAAGAAACAGTACCAGCATTACGATACGACCCAATGATCCTGGAAAGATAGGAAAACACACTTGGAGCAATTGTATATAGTGTAGTTATTGATATCTATCTCGTTTTTAGCAAGAACGTATCATAAGTATATCTTATATTATTTGAGTACTTGTTTTAAGTGGTTTAAGAGTTTTAGAATTATAATTACCCTTTAGTTCAGACGGACTTCCTTGTTGGCAAGCAGCTCCGAATATCAATATGATAATATCAACGACATTAGCTCTTAGTACACCAGCGTCTTTTTCACGCTAAAACATTTTAAAATCATACTTACTATTACTACTTGTGGGGATTTCAAAAGTGAGCAGTTTAAAAGAGTAGTAAAAATTGTCAATAAAAGTTAATTAAGTGTGGCAAACCCATGCTTAGGCTTCATCGTAACCAGCACTGAAACAATACTTGCTTTGTATTTCTCCGCGTCAGTAACGTTATCAGAGACCTAAATCCTCATGTCGCCAGCCCCCAAAAGGCCAGATTGTTATCCATATGGTCGTTTATATTAAATAATAAAAATAGGATATTATTCCTTATTATAATAAACATTGTTTGACATTACCCCCTTACCGTTTCAATACTATGCTTAGTTTTCTTCCATTCCCACTTTGTAACCAGAAGGAGCACGAGATATATTATGAAGACCAAGGCAATAGTGCAATACCAGACAGTAGTATTAAAAGGCAGCAGAAACAAGTTGTTCTCATACGATAGTTTTGGTTGTTGGAACACGAATTTGGACCGAGTTGGCGTTGGACTCGAAATGTAGTCGACTATTGACACTCTCTCAAATGTGAAGAACATTGGAGATCCTGTGGATATAAATAAAACGTCATAGGTAAAACAAATGACTGTTAAGAACCAACTTAAAAATGAAAGTCAGAGTTAGCTATTTCGTTATGCTTAGGCAGTTATGCAACCTATGCACATGTGGAAAGTTGAATCGACTTTGATGTCTTTCAGTGTACAAGTAAGAAAATATTCTAACAACAACATCTTTAAATTGGATCAACTGGCTAAAAAAATGTTTGAGTACATGAACTTTGTAAACGTAGGAACTAAATTCCTCGAATACAATTAGCTATTGTAATTGAAACTTGAAGTGAGCAAGTTTCTTATGCCGAATCGAATTCTAACTGCTCTAAATCTGAATAGAAGGTAATTCTTTTGTGCGGTCCAAAAATACCCAGAGATAAAAAAGTCAGTCATCGTTCTGAGACCGTTACCTACAGTGATTAGCTCATCATCAATCAATTGCTTTGCAACCTAATTGGTGAATGGCAAAATGTTATTAGTGGCTATTCTTGCAGCGTTGTTCATCTCCTTTGAGTAATTGCTTATTATGTCACCATAGTGTGGGACTTTTGTTTTTGTTGGCAATTCGTGGCAAATTATGATTTGTTTTACTAATATGGTTTAGTTTTTGTTACAACTTGTCTTATTGAGCTGTTTTTTGGATCGTTAATATGTTCAGATTTGTTTTGGAGGTTCATTTATATTTATTCCATTCCATTATCGTCATGCTTAATTATTTATGAGACAAAGCTTTTATTAGTGCAAAGCAATTTTTCGTAGAAGTCCGACTTTTGTCTTAACCTATTGAAACATGTCATCACTATGTATATCCCTTGATTTATCTTATTATTCAGGGAACTCCAACAATGATACTCTATTAATATTTTGTTTATCTATTTGATGAAGATAAGACAATTTCTTTGTATTTAATTAATTTTACTCACCTCCAATTTCAACTTCACCCCTTACTAAGTAACCAGTCATGCCATTCCAGGTACCATTGACCTTGTAGCCCCATGTATCAGCAAATATATATTTCCTTTTGGCATTAAGGAAGTCCAACAAATGGTTGGTCGTGGGGAAATTCACCTTCGTAATCGTATCAACGTGATCGTCTCTGCAATAATTTTGCAATGTTACTTGATCTTAAGTTAATAAAAAAAAACTTTCAACTGGCTGTTTGACTTACAATAACGAACATGTAATTTTTTCCTCGTCATGTTTTGTAACAAAAATTCCCCGCCTGCCCATTTATTTGGTATAAATATTATTTATACATACCTATTATTGAAATATGTTTGTATCTTTTTAACAGGATCTTTGCACATTATAATACATCATAATGTTTAACTAGAACGGAATTGAGTAGGTAACGCTGATTTAGATAGGTAATCTTTATGAAGTAAGTTCTTCTCAAGAGATTATCAATTTTTATTCGAACTAAACAATTGTTATCCATACTACGACGTGGTAACAATTACGTCGCATATTTTTACATATATTTTCTTACGAAGTTTGTAATATCAACCTCCTGATAACTTAACAATATGCTATCCTAGACTGCCAGGCGGATTGCTCTCCGTCCATTGGTGGTTTAGAGATGGAGTTTTATGTTATCTCAGCAACAGATATAAAAATAATCGATCCGAAAATCTAATATGACCATTTCCCATATGAAGAACTAACGGTGGTTGTGACACTTACAATCCATCTGATAAATGGTTGATGCTATTGTTGTTTGTCAGCACATAACAAATGCTAATTTCATATGCGTTTATATCGAGTCGTCTTAGTGATGTGGTGTCTAGAAATCGATTTGATTTTTGGAATCGATTTTTACTGTCCCACGATCCGTAGTACTCTATGTTCCATGTATTGGTTGGACTTATTCTGTAAACTGAAATAAGATAACTTAATACTAAGTAGGTTACTAAGTTTTTGAATTTGGAATGTTTATTTTTTTAGTGTATCCATATCTAGCGTATGCCATGCACCAATCGATTATTTAACAAATATTTTTCTTGATGAATAAAACGGTTTCTGAATTACCTTAATCGGCTTCCCTTCAGGAGTGAGGTATTCGGCAGTAGACTCATCTCCCGTAACGTTTATTTTTAACTATAATTATTGATAAACATTTCCAGCTTATTTTATTTTAATATATTTTTCAATAGCTTATACTTACTGAAGTGCATTTCATATATATCGTCAATGCTCCGTAAGACCAACACTTGGGAGTCAATTAATACATCTACATTAGCTATGGCCTCTGGAACTATGTCCTCATTGACGGCCCTAGAGTCTCCAAATAAAATCCAACGGAATGGTGCACGGAAGAAGATTCTTGTACTGTTCTGCGTGTAACAAAAAAAGTTTAGTAAAAAGTAAACGTAAAAAAAGTGGTGTTAAAGATTGTAGTGTAGTCTTTTCAATTTCCTTTGTACTTTAACTCTTCATACATAATTAATGGTCATTTGAAACATATCCAATCGATGCCATGATGTTTTGCTATTTACAACTTTGGAACAAGACTTAGATTATTAAATAGGGTGATCCTTCTAAATAAGAATCTGTTACCAAATTTTAACTCTCTATTATACTGGTTCTCACAACTTAGTTCCCTGTTGATTTGTAACTTAGTATTGCTATGCATACCTTCATAAGTTGCTATTGGAGTTATATTCATTTTCTTACTTGCACGGCCACAGATGAATTACCTGATAGTAAGCAATCAAGGGCGCCCATGAACCCCCGCAACAATGGTCTAGTTACGAGCGCACTGCCGACCTTTTTGGGGATCATGGTTTTAGAGATGTAGGGATTGGAGAAGGGATCTATTAATAGAAAACAAACCATTTCAAAATATTCTTCGATATCAGGACAATTGAGATCAGCCAGAATGACGATGTGCTGCTCTTCATCGTGAAACTGCATGTAATCGTTTTTCAAACCAGGGTTCGCACTGAATTGAATATTTTTCTGCACTAGTGCCGAGTATAGTTGAATTATTTTAGCTGTAACATTAATGCCGTGTTACTCAGTAACATAATTTAATGATTACTCTTACTTAAATGATTCCTTTGTTTTTGTTGCGAAAACAATTGGTAAGGGCTGGAAAGGAAGAAATCATTGATTGACTGAAATGAAATATCAAGTTACTTCTTCCAACTTGGATGGGGTGAGAACTCAGAAAGTGTCAGACTCTGACTGAAAGCTACTCCGTTCCTTATTCTGACCCGGGCCGGGGCCGATGGGTGACTATTGTAATTTAAAAAACCCTTCATTGCAATGTTAAGTCGATAAATTATTTTTACTTAGGTACTAATATTAGAGTACAAATACTAATACTAATATACAAATACTAATATTAGAGGACGAAAAGTTATTGCTAGTTCTTCTTCAAAAGATAAGCTTTGAGAGAAGGAAATAACCAACTGACCAACTACTGGCAACGATGGAAGACTTAAGGGCCTGTTTCACCACTTTTGTATGTGTACCTGATAAGCTTTTGTGACGGCATTTCTTCCCAGAGAAGTCAGATAGGCAATGCTGGCTTCACATATATATATTTTTTTGGACGAGTAGAAGTGCCGGTTTAAGGCCTATTTGCAAAAATAAATTCATTGTTTCATTGACAGATAAATAGTTCCTACAAATTACACTCTATGTGGCTTCTCTATTCAAATTTTCTAGTACTTTCTGCCATTGTGAAAAATACCCCGACTCTTTAACAAATATTCACTTACTAGGAGTCCAGCAAAGTTTTCCAATCACTGATGATGGTCTGTTAGCAGATTGAATGATATCAACAATCATGTTGGCTTGGTCAGGATCTCCATTTACTGACGAAAACAGTAGTGCAACGAAAAACCATATTGCCTTTTCCATAGCTACCCCAAAATGGTGTTGTAATGGAAGTAAGTACTATAATACTTGATTTGATACTAAATCGTTCATGTGTCTACGGGGTATTAAGTAAGGTAGCCCATTACTAGTATTTGTTTTTAAAATTGATCTTTATAGTATTTGCAAAGCTATTTGGTCTACAAAATCATTCTTTGCTTTGCAATAGAAACAATTTTTGCAAATTATGTTTGCAAAGCCATTTCTTTTCAATAACCTAATTTTGTAGAAGTCGTATATTTTAAATTTTACTATGCTACAACATAAAATGGGACGGTTTGTAAAGATATATGTGTATAATTATATACATAGTAAGTACTCTTTCAATTCCATGTCAAGATTTCACTCCAGACTTATTAAACTACTTATACCTAACACTGACTCCTTAATACACAATAATCTAGAAAGTGTTGGAAAAATTCCAGTACCCATTCAATTCATTGAACTTTTGCCCTTAAAAGAAAACAGATAAGTGATAACTGTTTCGTCGGTCGAATGTTCAACCGCGACTAACAAGAACAGAGAAGGTCTTAAGTTTTATGAAAGCAAGGCAAGGGCTTTATGAATATTCTCAGTTTAAGCCTGGAATATGGAAAGGTGGGTATAGGATGACATTGTCATCGCCCCTCGATCTTGATCGCCCAAAGTGTGTATTAAATGTGGGAGATATTTCAGCATGAATGGAGTTCGAATGAAGTGGTACGCGTAGTGCACGGCTTCATATAAAATGGGCGTGGAACAATTCTTGCGTTGTTTTGGCGAGTAAGTGAAGTTCGCGATGTTCTAATAGCCAAATCTTCAAACTTCAAACCATTGAAAGGCATGTGTAAAGCACTTGTAACTCCTCTGGCGTCCATAGGTGACGCTGATTGCTTACCACCAGGTGATCATCTTGTTTATTCCATGAAAAACAAACGCACGCCAATAATGGGAATGTTGAGAATTAAATTAAATTATGATAAGTCATCGTTCGGGCACTGTACAATTTCATCTTGTTTCGAGCCGGTATGGCGCGTGAATTATTTACCATAGATAACGTTAATCATTCGTATCTAATTATTATCTATGTCAAGTTTATCCGTATTGTTTGTTTACAAGTGATATGGAATAGTTTTTTTCCGTAACTTCTATAGTAAACATAAGTTGGCAATAAGATTTATAGGGTTATTCTCAACGTTTATATTTTAGGTACCATGTTAGTTTTTTGTCTGCAGGTATTTATTGTATACCGCGGCATCGGCCTAGAGCAGGGGAACGGAGAGGTTTTTAGTCAGTAAGAGTCTGACACTCCCTCCAGGAGCAGTCATTGGCGATCTTCCCTCACAGAAGAAGGTATCTATTTATTGTATCGATTTTAGTATCTGTGACTGTAATTACTGAATAGAGGCTTTCGATTTCGTTTCTTGTATAGAAGTTATTGGGGTTTTTTCAGCAAGGAGGCTGCATATTTCTTTACTGGTATTACGCACTTCTTTTGCATCCGTTGCCAGGTTTTAAATTTAGAAGGTTTAAATTACAAACTGACCGTGGCATACATTGATACTGTTCTAGTTTCATTTTTATCTATTTATATTCAGCCAAGAAAGAAAAAGGTACGTAATTCAAATTATTTCAAACCTAAACATTTTTTGCAATCAACTAATTTTCTAGAAAATTTAATGCACTTATATCAATCTGATCATTTTCGAATATTTTATTGTAAAGTCCAAAATGTTTTTGTCATTAAATTAAAGTATCCAATTAATTGATAAGTATAAGTATTTAAAGTAAACAAATGGACGTTAATGAAAGGTATTTTCCAAACAATATTCCAGATATTACTTGTAAATGTTTACGTGTGAATGGCCCATATCTATAGTTGAGTACACTTCATTGTTATCAGTACATACATATATTAATATTAATTTATTAATTGCATAATGTCCCTGGGCAGGCCAGTATTCAGTGGGCCACCGTCAAGTGCGTACATTGCCAATGTGACTGTTTTTGAAATATTTTAGGAAAAAAACCAAGTGACTTACAAGGTGTTTTAATAAAAAAAAGTAAAATGTTAAACACACAATTGTTTTCCAAAGTGTTTCTTACGAGAAGTTCATTAGATTCAGTGTCGTTAAGCAAGGAGGGCGAATCTGCATCAGAATGGACCCCATTGTTGAAGAAATCTACCAATGTCCCGCTTTCTACAAGAAGTTTGTACCCGCTTTTGTTTTATTTATTTTGGACGTTTCCTACAATTATGTGTGACCAGTGTAACTCGGGTTTCTCCTACCAAATTGGATTATGAAGCTAGAAGTTATATGGCTAATGAGATTGTACGCAATCAACCACAATTTAATACACATCGAAATGTACGGATTATGCAATATTTTGACGACTATTCTCCATTAGATAGTCTGCAATTATCTTTATATAGGTGCAATGTAATTTTTAAGCGACTTAAAAAAAGGAGGAGGTTCTCAATTCGACGCTTACTTTTTTTTGGCTGAACGGTTGGTACGGTTGCTGGGCAACTGGCTGCCGTGCAACGTGTCGCAGGTTCGATTCCCGTCCGGAACAACTCTTTGTGTGATCTACAAATTGTTGTTCCGGGTCTGGGTGTCTTGTGTATGTGAAATTGTATGTTTGTAACAGCACCCACGACACAGGAGAAAATCCTAATGTGGGACAACGTTTTTATAAAAAAAAAGAATAATAATAAAAAAGAGATATTTGTTTGTCAATTGGCTCGAAGGTTAAGGCAACCGCTTCTCATGCATGAGGGTTCGGGCTTAAAACCTGGCAAGATCCTACCTACTTTCTAAGTTTATGTATACACCTTAAGTAAACGGTATAGGAAAACATCGTGAGGGATGCTGGATTATTAATTCTAATTGGAAACTTGAAATCGCTAATCGTTTTAAGCTCGATCTTCGAAGCAGATTACTTCTCATACCTTCTGTGTATGACAAGAGGCCGTCGGTCAGCAATGGGCATTTAAAGACTGACGATGTGAATAATATAGGCTAGTAGTAAGATCAACAGTAACATATTAATGATATAACGGGTTTAATCATGTGGTTTCTCAAAGCCTTCACAGTTACGAAGTCACGACTGTACCAAGTAAATATATTTAAGCTGATTTTTTATGGAAAATATTTTGCTGGTCAATGAGGTGCTAATGAAGTAACTAGGTGTTACTATTTTGGCGTGATTTTCAATAATTAACAACTAGGTACCTAAGTTATCAGCCGGGGTTGCGGGGGAAGCGCAATGTGGCACCGCGTCCTCGGCCCAGAGCAGGAGAAGGAACGGGGGGGTGTTTAGTCACTAAGAGTCTGACACTCTCTCTCGCCTTACCCTGGGCGACCCTTACCCTACCTAAGTTACGGTTACTGGCTGCCATTAACTGGTTACTTCGTCGCCATGACAATCTGAGGTAAATAAAACTGTAGTCAGAATATAAAACAGAACAGTGAAGTAGGTAGTGTTATTTATGCACTTTTATTTTAAGGAGGGAAATTCCCAGAGACTCTGGTGAAGTATCGATCGTCGACTTGACACCGATGGTAATCCCTTCCACCGCCTACTTATGCTATTACACCTACATTTCTGCTGGTTTCGAACCGGTACTCTCATGATTGTTGAGGCGGGCGCCAAATTTCTGACCTATGCCACGACTTCACATGGATCCTCGGCGACCGTAAGAGTGGGTTTGCCAGTACCAGACCCGAAATTACGGCTTTAAGCGTTGAGCGCGTTGTTGCAGGTGCAACAACTTCTCCAGCTGTGTACCATGGCCCCGGCCCACAGCTGGAGAAGGAACGGAGTGTCACTTAGTCGGTAGGAGTCTGGCACTCCCTCTTGCCCCACGTTGGGAGGGAGAAGTTATTTATTTGATGGTTTTACCCACTCAAACCAAAAGCTATAACAACTCGACAGTTTAGTGAATAATAATAGGAAATGCAATATTACCGAGATTCCTTCCTCTGGAGCCCTGACCACTGGTGGACTTGACATTTTCAGAGGGATACTACTTTTTGCGAGCAAACATTTTTCATGAAATTAGCATTTTTGGCTGAATAAGCTTTCGTTTTCCATTGCGAATGTTAAAGCGGAATTGCGAATTAAAACATTAAATTAAATCATTAACTGATGGAAACGAATGTGTCCGTCTATGTACGGAACTGGGTCATCACAAAAAGTTCCACTCTTAAGGTAAAGATAGTTGGCGTGGTATCTGCGGTACTTCGAATGTAAGTACTTATGTAGGAGAAATAGGTCACTTCTGTTCATTACTACCGTTTACTTAAATATAAGTCTATAATGTGCATCATTAGTTGTAATCATACGATTAAAAACATACTTTATTAAACACTAGCTAATTCGGTAGGTACGGTTTCACCTGCTGCTCAGCTGCTTCAGATCTCAGCGTGATGTTTTATAGCCTATAGCGTTCCTCGATACTTTGACTAACAAACAGAAAAAAAAAATTCAATTCGAGAGTCGCTCCGGAGATTAGCGCCAAACAATTTTATAATATTAGTATAGATTTTGGAAATTATTAGGACTCCGGCGAGGGGGTTGGTTTAGTCAGTTAGAGTCTGACACTCTGTGTCGCCTAACCGTGGGCGGGAGAAGTCATTTGATGATTTTCCCCTGAAAAAAGGCCATCACCACGTTTGAGAACTATGTTTTATTAACTATGGTGTAAGTAATTTCTTTGACTGTAATAATTTCGAATTTTAAATGCCCTTGTCGTTTTTTAAACATCCTACCAAGTGTTTATGACTTGTGTGTTTATGCTGACCTACCAGTACATTTTCCAAAGTTGACAAGTAAGCAAGTGTGGGAGAGCCAAGCTTCGGCACGAATGGGTCGGCACCGGAGTGATACCACGGCCTCAAAGAGAACCGGCAAGAAACAAACATAGTGTTCGGTTTCGCCCTTAAAAACGCTGGCAACGCACTCGTAACTCCTTTGGTGTTGCGGGTATCCATGGGCGGCGC